TGTGGTAGCGCCTCGGTCGTTGAGACTCATGAGTCATAACTGAGACTAGCAGAGAATTTCTGCTCGATGAGACCGTTAAGATTCTTTCCACTCGATGAGACTGATAATATTCTTTCTGCTCGATGAGACTGATAAGATTCTTTCTGCTCGATGAGACCGATAATATTCTTTCTGCTCGATGAGACCGTTAAGATTCTTTCCACTCGATGAGACTGATAATATTCTTTCTGCTCGATGAGACTGATGAGATTCTTTCTGCTCGATGAGACTGATAAGATTCTTTCTGCTCGATGAGATTGATGAGATTCTTTCTGCTCGATGAAACTGATAAGATTCTTTCTACTCAATTAGACTGATAAGGCCTTTTTTCTGCTCGGCGATCGCGATACGGTCTATGAAACAGTCTCGTTTCAATGATAAACTTATCAATTGTTTCCATATATTACTGCCATATTTATCAATTGGTTATATAATATTACTGTCATACATATTAATTAGTTCTATACATTGCTGTAATACTTATTAATTAGTTCTATATATCACTGCCGTATTTATCATAACGATATTTGTCGTAACTGTTGGTAGCTTGGTTCTCAGAGCCGACCCCTGTTAGGCAAAAAAGATCATTCTTTGAGTTTTCACCAGTGATACACAGTAAAGTTTTCTTAAATATTTCACAAAAGGAAATTAGATTGATAATAGAAAGAGACCCCAACAGTTAAAATGTACATAATCTACCCGTGGACAGGAAAATTTTACATCGCGGTAGCTCTTTTGGCCCTCCGATCACCCCACACCATAAGCTTTTGTTTATAAATCCCATGGCTTCCATTCACGTTGTTGTCTGCTCAGTCTTACTGAATTTCATAATTTACTTAGTCAGTGTCACTGACACGTTATTTTCTATTCATTCAGTGCCACTGAACTTCTTAGTTTTCTCAGTGGCACTGAGATGTCATGTCGTTCTATAATGTGCGCGTACTTGCTGTTAGAAGAAGAAATTAAGTGGTAACCAGAATATCAATGTGAATGATGGTGCCCAATCTCTGTTGTGAGTTCAGGTCCAGTCAACTGAATAAAAACGGGATTTGAATACAAAAATACCGTTATTTTATTAACATGAATATTCAGTTTTAGAATACCGATCTCAAAGAAATGAAATAAACCTCTACGGACACCATTAAGTCCATCAGCCTGATAAACTTAACTTAGTCACGAATAATCGTTCGGGCGGCTTGTTTGTTTCACAAAATTGATGAAGAAACTAATGAACAGCTGCTATTGTGGTCCTTTATATTAACGATGGGTCGTTGTAATTATCTATCGTTAAAATATTTACTTTTATTCATGCCGATACAATATGCACTTTATTTTCTTCCAACACACATTGTAGGAACATTAATCTATATCGTGTTCGTGTCTTATTGCTATAACATCGATCGAATTAGATTGAGCAGCAGCACTCACGTCTGCTTAATTACGAAGCCTCGCAATCATTAACCAGCTCTAAGTCATTAACATTAATGATATATTTTATGATAGTAAAATTTGCATTGGAAAAAACTTGCACGAGCTCCTTAACTAAAGCTACAATTGAGTTCAACACAAGTTTTACATTGGAGTTTAAAATGAGTTTTACGTTGAATTTCACTTCAAGTTTTACATTGCAGTTCAAATCACGTTATGCAATGGAGTTCAACTAAAGCAGTGGTTCCCAAATTTTTTCAGACTGGCGCCGCCTTTGGCTCCCCAGTGAATCTCTACTCCCCCCCCCCCCTCCGACAGACACATATAAAAACAAACGCCTCTTTCTTGATATTTATTACGCTGCAATTTTAAAAGAAAAAGGTCAAACAAAAATGTGTATTTCACAAATAGAACACCATTTAGTAAACTAATATATATTATTACAATTTTAACTGTTGCAAAACTAGAAATTCAAGACGGCTCGGACAAATTTACGGCCGGACTCGGGGCCGGTCTCGCAGCCGGTCTCACGGCCAATCTCCAAATTCAGTGACCAAGGAATATCTCCCAAACAAATAAATGAACGCAGCTCGATACAATTTGGAACACGTATTCATTAGGACCTAAGGATGATTTTAGTTCGTGAAAAATGTTACAATTTCACCTTCATTCGGGAGTTTTATGGCGATATGGGCTGAAAATAGCAGAGATCAAAGAATTTCTTCCAAACTACTGAACAGATTCATACGAAATTTTGAATATAAATTCCTAACTACCAAACGCTGATTTTTAGCTCGTAGCTCGTAAAAATTTATTCGAGTCGAAGTCATGTTCAGCACGTGTTGTGTAAAAATCGTCAAACAAACGTACGAACTTCTGACTTCGCCTTCGCGGACTGCCGCCCCCTACTACCCCTTTCTTCCCCCCAGATCTTTCCACCGTCACAGAGGGGCGATATCGCCCACTTTGGGAACCACTGAACTAAAGTAGTGCAGTGGGGCTCAATTCTAGTTGAAGCTTTGGATAACATACGAAATTTTATCAAGGTTCTTTGAATTATTAATTTTTCCCTCATTTTAGAACATTACGGCAGCAATACACTAGTGACGGACATGCATTCTGGTCTGACATTTGCTTTCCTTATGCCATCCCCGCATCCTTCGATGAAGTTGTGAGCTGGCAGTGTCCACGGCACTCGATGCATCCATTCATCCACAGCGATGCTGGTGCATTCACACGTTCAAGATAACGCTGGTGTATCCGCACATTTAAGATAACTTGGTATAGCCGCACATCTAAGATAACGCTGGAGCATCTATGAGTTCAAGGACACGTTGTTGCATCCATGCAAGTTCTTTTTGGGCCTTGAGATGTATCCTATTGAAGATATTTTATCATTTTTGTGACCCCAACCATGAATAGAAGTCATAATATCCTTCGTTAGAGCAAATTTGCCTCAAAATTCGCTCAAGGCGCATTTCAACTGGAGGAAAGCCTTTTTAAATGTTCAGAAATGCCATGTCTCGTGATGCTATTAGGAATGACTCTTATAATTTTTTCAAAGTCGCCCTCCTCTGCTTTAGAAGAGACGAATCTTTTTGACAATTCTTCACTAAGGAAAATCATTGCATCACATTGCCTAAGTGATCTACTTTCTGCACGTAGCACAGATACGCCCTCTTAGACGGCCATATTGGGACAGCATAACCCTCATAAACACATAATTAAGTGTATCGTTCTATGGACAAAAACTCACACATTTCTATGAGCGCTGAATTGTGAGTCTCTCTATCCTTTCCCTTAACGAGCAACCTTTTCTATGAAGAAGCGTGTTAACTTACATATATAAATATATATATTAACTTTAATATGTATTAGCTTATTAACTTTAACTTACATATGCATATGTCGCGCCGAAATCGCAGAATTGCCGATTCCGTAGAATCAGCATTTCGTTGCTGATTCAGAAAATCGTACGTTAGAGTTAGAAGACAAATCGACAGTTAGACTTAGAAATATTAGGTCTAGTACGGTCAAGTTCCTTTATATTTAAATATTTAAAAAGAAAATAACTTGGCTGAATGGCCTAACCCCAAATTTTCTATAGGATAGAAATGCTGATTCTACAGAATCGGTAAACTGGCTGCCGGCTCCATAGAATCGGCAATTCCGCGATTTAGGCACGACACATACATATGTATAGCTTTACCACTAAAATCCTTGTTAAATTAGGTAACACTTAGATACATGGCATTTAATTTAAATATGCATAAAAAATTACCCAAACCCTCAGGTAGGGTCGCCCGTTACCATTCGAAGTGATAAATGTAGTTTTTTCCCTCAATTTAACTCGCTTCATATCAACCATAAAAAGTTTAGCAATAACAGACAGAAACAGATCGATCAACTGGAACACATCACCAAAATGCGGTGCCGGTTGGTAGACCATTCATTGCACGTCATTGTAGACCTTTCATTACAATCCATTCACTATAAACCATTCGTTGTAGACTGTTCACTTTAGAGCACCTATTTTTAAGAACATTAATTGTTTGTACACCATTTATTTAAGACCATTCATTTAAAACATTCTTCTAAGCATAAATACAGGAGTTCAACTGTAAATTAAAACCAATTTGAACAATAAAAAATATATACCAAGACTTTATCGTACACATAAGTCGTCGTTCGTCATGCTCACAAAGAAATTAATAGTTTTTGATAAAGTTAGGTATGAAGGAAAGTTTGTTTTCGAGCGTTGGTTGCGGGCGTAAACAAACTTTATTGCTGCAGCCCTCGGCGCCTCCAACGCCTGAGCCTCAGCTCACACAGAAAAGCTGACGCGTCCGGAAAATGTTGACCTACGTGCGGCCATCTTGTTCCTTATTGAGGATTATTGGCGGATCGAAGACGGCCGCCCTCTGCCTGGCTAATGCCTAAATTTTCTAAAGCTGTTGGTGAATAAAATACGGCCGCCCTTAGTGCATCCAAGGCTTACTTATCAAAGGCCGTCGGTGAATTAAGGACGGTGGATCTCTACCCAACCAACGCAACGACATGTGCGTGGCTATGAAAAAAACAAGGTGGATAGATAGATTGGCCAGCAGAGTCCAGAATGGCGAGCAAACTACAGACTTTCAAGTAGCGTCCAGACTATCCAGTAAAGTCCAGACTGACCAGCACCCTCTAAATACCTTCTATCCAACGACCTGCACCGCCAAAGACCTGCATCCCACCCTACGACCAACCCTCAAGTTACCCGCCCTGTCGTCCTCTGGTCACGCCGGCCGCGGCGCCGAAATGCTGAGGCGCGGCGGCCGCCATAACAAGGCCGTCGTACATTCCGCCGCTCCGGAAGCTGCAGGCGCCGTCTAACGGCCACCAAGTCTCCGCTTTGGGGGACTTTTAAAGGACTTTGGAAGGATTTTTCTATGGGAAAAGACCCCTTAACTCTTGATGCAAGGAGCGCTACAAAAATCTGCCCCCACTTTTGCTCGAGCTATTCTTAAACTTGAAGCATGAGCTTTTACGGAATGTCCGTAGAGTTTGGCGTATGGTCGGTGCCAGATATCGGTAAAAGGCATGAATATTTTGATATTCAGTTTAACCAATGTTGCTGGGGTCACCCAGGTTCGGCCAGCCGTACTTATAGTACTTTAACGTGGACCCCAACAAAGGCTTGCAATAAAAGACACTTCGGAAACCACTCTCTTGAATATGTAGTTCCAAAACTCTCCTAAAGAAAAAAAGAACAAAGAATAAATAACCTGAACTAACATATAAACGAACAAAAGATAAAGTATGAACAAACCTTCTCATGAATTAACTAATCTAACTTTACAGAATATAACAGAATAAAGAACATCTCGTAATAACCACAAAATGTAATACACAGGAACAAACAAATAACCGAGTTAAAACACACCTTGACTCTGTGGGTTCAAATGCGGGACTGACTAGGACGGACTAAAATCTACAGATTTAACTTCCGCATTTCTAAACTGAAAACTAAAATTACAAAAATACAAAATTATAAAATACTAAATTCTAATTCCCTAACAATATTTTCTATATCGACGCAAGGTGTAAGTAAATTGAATTTCGGATGAAAGCTTGATGAATGTTCGGGATTGAATATTCTTTACCATGACATGTTGCTGGATTTTGTTGCAGATATTATTTAATTAATTTGAAGCCCATTTAGTCAGAGTTTGAGATTCAATATTTTCTCGATCAATCATAAGCCGATTTTCTTCATAAGTCGATTTTCTTCATCTGTGAATAAATAAGTGACGAGTCTAAATTTACTTATAAACAAAGCATTCATTGTTTTTTAATGAAATTCATTATGCACTTTGAAATAGCATTTCCTTAATATAAATTTCTACAACAAAATACGGCAGTGAAGGCTCTTCTTTCTCACCAGTTTGGCCGCAACACCCAGAAAAATTGAGAGACTTTGTCCGAATAGCAGTTCACATCTTTTCCTTGTGTGGGCCATCTTGACCCAGTTCTGCTCTGCAAAATGCGTATCATTACTACATGCAGAAAGTGTCGCAATTTGGACAATATTACTCGTTCATTTTTTGAGTTAAGGTCTTCTATTTTGGCCTACATTGCCAGACCTTCACCAGAGAGCTACTGCAGCGCCCTCAGTCCTCAGGGCCCAGGCTCCTGCAGCGCCCTCAGTCCTCAGGTCCCAGGCTCCTGCAGCGCCCTCAGTCCTCAGGGCCCAGGCTCCTGCAGCGCCCTCAGCCCTCAGGGCCCAAGCTCCTGCAGCACCCTCAGCCCTCAGGGCCCAGGCTCCTGCAGCGCCCTCAGCTCTCAGGGCCCTAGCTCCTGCAGCGCCCTCAGCCCTCAGGGCCCCAGGCTCCTGCAGCGCCCTCAGCCCTCAGGGCCCAGGCTCCTGCAGCGCCCTCAGCCCGCAGGGCCCCAGGCTCCTGCAGCGCCCTCAGCCCTCAGGGCCCAGGCTCCTGCAGCGCCCTCAGCCCTCAGGGCCCAGGCTCCTGCAGCGCCCTCAGCCCTCAGGGCCCAGGCTCCTGCAGCGCCCTCAGCCCTCAGGGCCCAGGCTCCTGCAGCGCCCTCAGCCCTCAGGGCCCAGGCTCCTGCAGC